TGATATCACACCTCTCCTATGATCTCATATCATCCCTGTGACGTCACATCCTCCCCGTGCCATCAAAACTCTCCTATGACATCACATCCATCATATGACGTCACATCTCTCATGTGGTCTCATATACTGCCTGAGACATCACATCCTCCCTGTGACATCACGTTCTCCCCTGTGACATCACACCCTTCCTGTGACATCACAGCCTCCCCTATGTCTTCATAAACATCATATAACATCACACCTCCACATGACATCACAGCTCCTCTATGACATCACATCTTTCCTGTGACATCACATCTCTCCTGTGATGTCGTATCGTTCCTGTGACATCACGTCCTGCCCTGTGACATCATATCATCCCTGTGTCATCAAGGATCCCTTATGATGTCACATCCATCATATGACATCACATCCTTCCTGTGACATAACATCTCTTCTATGATGTCACATCCATCATATGACATCACACCTCTCCTGAAATATCATATCCTCCCTGTGACATCATAGCCTCTCCTGTGACATCACATCATCCCCGTGACATCACAGCTCCCCTGTGACATCACATCCTTCCTGTGACATCACATCTCCCCTATGACGTCACAGCCATAACATGACATCACATCCATCATATGACTTCACATCTTTCCTGTAACATCAAATCTTCCCTATGACATCATATCCTTCCTGACACATCACACCTGCCCCGTGACATCACATCCTTCATGTGACATCACATCTCCCCTATGACATCACACCTACTTCGTGACATCACATCCTCCCTGTGACATTACATCTCCCCTATGATGTCAAACCGTTCCTGTGACATCACATCTCCATTATGACGTCACATCCATCATATTCTGGGATAAAGCAGGACCAAATGAAATCAAAGGAATTCTGGCACACTGTTGAACCTCCTGGAACCAAGAGAGCCCAGAGATATTTCTGAACCTCCCAGAATCCAGGGGCCATTGTGACCCTGCAGAACCTCCTGCATTCCAGTGCTCCTTGTGAAACTGCAGGATCTCCTGGAACCCAAGGATTCCTGGAACACTGCAGAGCTCACGGAGCCAAGGGGCCACTGTCCCACTGCAGCTCCTTCTGAAGCACAAGGGACCCTGGGACAATGGGAAATCTCCGAGAATCCAAAGGGCATTTGGGGACTGCAGGGCCTCATGGAACTAAAGGAACCTTTGGAGACTGGGGAAGCTCATGGAATCAAGGGTCCATTAGGGCATGTGGGGCCTCCCGGAAGCAAAAGGATTCCTGAGTTTTGTGGGAACAAGTTAAGGCAGGAGCTGCTGTTCTCTGTTATTTCAGATCAACTAGGAGTGTTTTGGCCTTGACTGGTGCTGTTTGCCAAAGTGGAAACCACTTGGAACACTCTGCATGACCAGCCTGTGTTTTCTTCTGGTGGCTGAACACAGGCAGCACATGAGGGGAGGGGAATGTGTGGGATCAGGGCACTGCTTTGGGGTCATGCTGGGAATTGCAGTGGACTAAAAGACAAAGCCCAGGCGCTGCTTCCAAAGGAACCCCAATGAAAGGGGGACACCGGAAAGATGGGCAGACAAGTCCCAAAATGGAACTCTGTGTGTGCAGCCTCATTTTCTTCTTCAGCATCCACAGGAGAGGGGGTAAAATGTGGGGGTGGGACGTCAAAACTGTTCAGGGGGGAAACTGGGGATTGAGGGGACAATGGGAAAGTGGGAGGAACAGGGAGAAGGCTGGAAAAGGGGAAGTGGTCTGGTCAGTCCGATGGTCCCATGGGGGTCTTTGGGCACAGAGGGGCTGGGAAAGGAGGGAGGCCCCCCTGAGTTCCCAATTTACTGTGGGGTGCTGGGGGTTGCTGGATCGAATTTTAGCCTTGGATTATGCCAACATTTTCAGTTTAGAGGAACTACAGAAGTGTGACTGAACCACTTAGGTCACCCAGCTTTTAATAATGGCAAATCAGATCTATTGATAGAAAGGAATTATTTAAGGTTACAAATGATCAGACAAAAGATCTTCATCACAATTATTTACTGCACAATAGAAATACTAAAACTACCAGGAGTACAGGATAAGATAGGACAGGGCTCCACACTAAAGTAATTGTTGAAGCAATTCTACTAAAGCTGGAACAAAAGCAATAATTCTTAATTAGAGATGGATGGAACTCCCCCAGACCAACGCTCGTGGGGAGATCTCGGCTCTCAACCTCCAGCAGTGACCTTGGGGGGTCCCCAGCCAAGGCAGGAATCTCCACACATCCCCTCAGGAAGGGTTCTGGTGAAAGAAGTTGCCGCTGGGAAAGGGGACTTGCCCTTTGTGGTGGAAAGGGATGGACTGACAGTCACTGGATTCCAGGGGTTGCCTCATCATCAGGGGGTTCATTTGGGGCACTTGTAGGCCTTCCCTTACCGGTGGGTCTGTTGGTGTTTGGTCAAGTTAGAGCTGTCGGTGAAGCTCTTCCCACACTCCCCACACTTGTAGGGCCTCTCTCCGGTGTGGATGCGCTGGTGGGTGATGAGGGTGGAGTTCCGGTTGAAGCCCTTCCCGCAGTCGGTGCAGCGAAAGGGCCTCTCATCAGTGTGTGTCTGCTCATGCAGGAGGAGAGTTGAGCTGCGCTGAAACCTCTTCCCACATTCCAAGCACTTGTAGGGCCGTTCCCCAGTGTGGATGTGCTTGTGTCGGATCAGGTTGGCTCTGCAGTTGAAGCTCTTCCCACATTCCACACACTGATATGGTCGTTCCCCAGTGTGGATGCGCTGGTGGGTGAGGAGGTTGGAGCTGCAGTTGAAGCTCTTCCCACATTCCCCACACATATACGGCCGTTCCCCAGTGTGGACGTGCTTGTGTTGGATCAGATGGGAGCTCCGCCTGAAGCTTTTCCCACATTCCCCACAAGTGTAGGGCTGTTCCCCAGTGTGGATCATCTGGTGTTGGCTCAGGGTGGAGCTGTCCTTGAAGCTCCTCCCACATTCCCCACACGTGTAGGGCCGTTCCCCAGTGTGGGTGTGCTGGTGTTGGATCAGGTTGGAGTTGCTCCTGAAGCTCTTCCCACATTCCCCACATGGGTAGGGCCACTCCCCGGTGTGGATGTGCTGATGTTGGAGAAGGTTGGTACTCTTCCTGAAGCTCTTAACACATTCCAAGCACCTGAAGGGCTTCTCCCTGCTGAGAGGTTGCTCAGGGACCACCAGCTCAGAGCTCCCCCTCAAGCTCTGGCCGCCTTCCCAGCACAGGCTGGCTCTTTCCTCCTCAGAGCACCCTGGGCTGGCTTTGGAGCCCCTCCTGCGGGGGGATCTCCGGCCGTTTTCCTCCCCGCTGCCTTCCTGCGCCGGGGAGCCCTTCAAAATGGCCTCTCCCACCAGGGTCTCACGGGGGGATTTGTCCTCCGGGCTCTCCGTCCTCAGCTCGGGGCCTGGGGCAGGAAGCAAGAAGGACAGGGAGGGGATTTGCCTCCGGCCCACAGGGAAGGCCAAGGACATCCCCCCAACTCCGGCCCCGGTAGGACGGCGGCGGCAGCGGGGTTGTCCTGCAGCCGGGGCCATGTTCGGCTGACAGAGCCAGCACAACACCCGCCCAAAGGGCCACTGACTTCCTCCTCACCTGCCTGGGGGGCCCAAGGCATCTTCCTCTTCCTCGCAGCCTCCTCCTCCATCCGCCCAAGCTTTGGGAAGGACAAATCCTGATGGGGGGGAAACAAGGGCTGAGCGCGTTGGTTTGGGGGTTCCTCCTGCCCAAGTCCATCTGTAGAAGTCACTGAGCATCCTGTGTCCATAAAAACCTCCAAAACACCAAAATTCAGCCCAGAAAAACCCAAACCACCAAGATTCAGGCAAAAAGCTCCTCAGAAATAGCAAGAGGAACCCCTCCCCAAACTAAAAATGTTAAGATTCAGCCAAAATATACTCCAAAATATGAAGATTCAGCCAAAAAAAGGTGTTTAACTGGGAGGATGAGGGGAGCGAGGTCACTTCATGAGCACTTGATTGAGTTGCTAAATATTATTCAAAAGCTGAAATAACGTAGTGTCACTTAAAACTCATTTTTTTTCTTCCTAGTTTCAGTGTAGAGAATAAATATGAAATCCCTGGACTTCAGGCCTGGATCATTACCCCTGTGCTTTGGAGCGCAAATGTTTTCTCCTTCCACTTCTCCCCTGCCATTGTTTCTGACAACTGCATTTCTCTGCTGTGCTGTGCCAATCTCCTGGGATGTGCAGTTTCCATGTTTGCAAGGATTAAAGGCTACTTTTTGCCTCCCAGTGCCAAAGGCTGGTCTGTGAAGTTTAGTGTGAGAGAACCCTGGGCAATCAGACACTGAAATTGTTGAGCTGCAACGGGCCATGTGAATGGAATGACAGAATCCATTCTGCTGGCCCAGACACAGAACCCAATATCTGGCTGTGGCTCTTTGCCTCACTGGCACCATCCTCTGTGGTTCCTGCTGCCCACCATGGCACTGGCACCCCAGGGGCACAGGTACGTCCATCCTGTACATGAAGTCAGTGTCAGACTGTCCACAAGTGTTAGCAGGAGTAAAACAGTGCACTGCTGACCTTCTGGAATTTATCTCTGTTAATGTCTGACTTCACTTGGCCAATCTGTGTTCTCTTGCACAGCGTTACGTGGGTTTATGATTTTTATTATCACTGCACCAAATTAATCTGGAATGTGTGGTCAGAACAGTAATTACCTGTATTTGTGTATAACTGTGTGCTCTTCTATTTTTCATGCTTTCTGGCAAATTCACTGACAACTTCTTTACGACTACACGATGGGGACTGAATTTAAGGTTGGGGGGTTTTCCTGAGGGCAGCACTACACCAGACTTTTGTGTGTGTGTGTGTGAGACAGGCAGAAGCACAAATGCCTGCACAGCCCAGAGCAGTCAGTGTGGGGCTGTGCTTGCTGCTGCAGAGACCCCCAGGGAACAAACCCAGGCAATAGTTTGGGTTTATTCCTTCCTCTGTGTCAGTGGAATAGAATGTTCCACAGGAGCTCTGTCCCCTCTGTGGCACCGGGTGGCTCGAAGCTGAAGGGGGGGTGGATCAAGTGCAAGTTCCCTTCTGAAGTGTGTGTCCCTAAGGAGGACACTTGCCTTGTTATTGCCTATTATGTGTAAGATCTTATAGATAGATCATACAATATCTAAAGATGGATTCTACAGAATATGTGCCAGATATATGATACAGAATATATCTGATTATTGCTTTATCTGCCTGTCCAGACAGATATTGTGTATGCAGAGAGATTGTATTTGAAGGATATGTTCCTCTCAATACCCTGTGAGCTCCACTCCCAAGGCCAGCAAATTCCTGAAGCTCCCACTTGTGTGCCCTGCAGGTTTTGGCAGATTTGCAAGAGCAGGGGAATCATTCCCTGCAGCCCCTTTGCACTGTAGGAAATGGGAGCACTGTGCACATCCTGCTGCCTCCAGATTCCATTCTGGGTGTGTGGGGAGCAAAGAAATGCCTGGTTCTGCAGCAGCTGCAGATGCTCAAGGGGCAGCAGGACCAACTCAGGGACCTGAAGGGGCCTGAAAGGCTTTGGGGTGCGGGAGGGTCCTGGGGGAGCTGGGGAGGGGCTTTGGGGATTGGGGGTACAGACCAGGACAGACCAGGACAGACCAGTACCTCCTCACTGCTCCCCAGATCTCTCCTGGAGCTGGGCCACCTTGTCCTGGGACACCTGAGCCCCCTCCAGTGCCCTCCCAGTACAGCCCAGTGCCCCCAGTACAGCCCACTGTGCTCCTGTCCCAGGGTGCTGGGTGACCCCTCTTTGGGGGGGTTGGAAGTGATTTGAGGGGAGGCTGAGGGGAGATTTGGGGGGATCTGGGGGGGTGTTGGATGGGGATTTGGGGGGTTTTGAGGAGCTTTGCGTGAATTTAGGGCAGTTAAAAGGGTCTTGGGGGCATTGGGGGGTCAAAAGTATCTGGAGGGAAGGAGATTAAGGGAAAAAAAGGGGAGTTGGGGGACATTTAGGGGGGGTTAATGGGGCCTAGAGGAGAAGAGAAGGGCCTGCACAAAGAGCAGGTGAGTCCTGAGACCCCCCCTGGTGTCCCAAAGACCCTCTTGGTGTCCCCAGTTCCTCCCTTGACACCCCAAGACCCCCCTGGTGTTTCCAATGTCCCCAGGGCCTGTCCATGGCTCCAATTCCTCCCTTGACATACCCAATTCCACTGTCCCCAAACCCCATCCCTGATGTCCCCAACCCTCCATCCCACTCCAGAAGCCCCCCCTGGACCCTCTGACCACAAAAACTCCCCCCCCCCCACTCACAGAAAGGCCAAGGGCATCTGGGGACACACTGGGGAGAGCTGGGGGGCTTTGGGGGGGCACTGGGTGATTACTGGGGGATACTGGGACACACAGGGGGGAATCAGGGGGCACTGGGAGGGACTGGAGGTGAACTGGGGCACACTGGGGGGGCACTGGCAGAGAACTGCAGAGTTACTGGGGGATTACCAGGACACACAGGGAGACACTGGGAGGTTACTGGGTGCTCACTGCAGGATCACTGGGCCATAGGGGGGGCAGTGGGAGGTCACTGGGACACACTGGGTGGTCACTGAGGGGCTTACTGGGCCATACTGAGGGTAACAGGGAGGTCACTGGGATATACTGGGGGCACTGGGATCCCCTTACCCACATGTGGTACATCTTCCCCCGGATTTTGGGGGGCATCCCTAGGACTCCTCCCCAAACTGAACCCACTGCTGGGCTTTAGGGGACCCCGCACAATCCCCTCAAAACCCCTGAAATCCCCCCCTCGACCGGTCGAAACCTCCTCAAGGACCCCTCATCCCTCCCCAGAACCCTCTAAACCCTCTCAGTGACCCGCAAAACCCACCTGGGGCCCCACAAGCCCATTCAGGGACCCCCCAGTCCCCCTCACGGACCCTCAAAACCGTCTGGGACACCTTAAACCCCCTAGAGACCCCCAAACTGACGAAAACGTCCCCGCAAAGCCCCCCAGGAACCTCAAACCTCCTCACAGACGCCCAAAGCCCACCTGGGACCCCCCAAATCTTCTCAGAAATCAAAACCCCTCAAAGACCCCCAAACCTCTTTAGGGACCTTCAACCTCCCCCCTGAGTCCCCTCAAGGACTCCTCAAAACGTCCCCGGAAATCCCCGAACCCCCCCGCTAAGCCCTCCCGAGCCCTCCAGCCCTTCCACCCCCAGCCGCGCTCCCCGCAGCCCCCGAGGGGATCCCCAGACCCCGCTCTCCCCGCACCCCCCACCAGCTCACACAGCGAAGCGCAGGAGCCGCCACCTTCTCCTCCTTCGCGACCACGAGGCCAAAATGGCGCTCGCTCTGCCCGCCCTCCGCCTTTACAGACCCGCCCCGCAGCCAATCAGCGCGCGGACACGGCCCCTGCCCGCCCTCCGCCACGCCCCCACCTGCGCGGTGCATTGTGGGAGTTGAAGTCCTTGCGGCGGGGGAGGATCGGACTTTTTGGGTTTTTGTTTTTCCGTCTTCTTTTATTTTCTCTTTTTTCTTTCTTTCTTTTTTCTTTTTTCTTTCTTCTTTCTTTTCTTCCCTTTTTTCTCTCTCTTTTTTCTCTTTTTTGTTTGTTCTTTCTTTTTTTCTCATTTTTCCTGTTTTTTCTTTCTTTTTTTTTCTTTTTTTTTCTCCTTTTTCTCTTTTTTCTCCCTTTGTTTTAATTTTCTTTTTTCTTATTTTTCCATTTTCCTTTTTTTTTTACAGTGTTTTCTATTAGTTGTTGTATTCAAGGAAGATTTAAACACAGATCAAAACAATCTCCAGGCAACAGATAATCTGCCATTGTTCCAGGTTCCTGAGAATTTTCCAGCTCACAAACACTGAGACACCAAGGGTGGAAGTGAAGCAACTTTAGCCTGTCCCTTGCCACAGCCTTCAATCCACACCCAGCCCTGGATTTCTGGAAAGCCACTGGGCAGGAGCAGGAGATGGAGCTGGTGCTCGGCAGGAGGGGCAGCAACAACAAACCTGTGTCTTTGGCACAGGGGAAGGAATTTAGTGCTTGAGGGGTTACATTCCACAGGCTCCCCTGGGGATCAGCTTATGCTTGGACAGTAAGAACAGCAAGAACATTCCTCATCAAAATGGCAGAGGGAAGGGAGCGGAGGGGGAGCAGGGGCAGGAAAAGGAAGCAGAGCCATGGAAGATGGGCTGGGGCGGTCGGGCCTGGGGGAAGGCAGGCTGGACAATGCCTTGTTTGGTCCAGCAGCTGGACCAGCTCCAGGGCAGATGTCGGGGGAGCCTCTGCCACAGGGACATGCCCAAACAGACCCTACAAAAGCTCTCAGAGTGGTTGGGGGCTCTGGGCAGGGCTGCGCTCTCGCCTCAAGCCAGGATATCCCAGGGCAGTAGAACAGCAATTCCTGTCAGCTCCCAGCAAAGATTATTGGGATTTGCACTGGGGAAATATTGACACTCCAGCTTCTTCTTCTCTTTTTAGAACTTTGAGCTTGCAGTCGGGTAGAAGGGCTGGTGGGGGAGTGGGAAGAGACACACTGAGGGACACATCTCATCCCTCAGTTAGATGGAGCTAAACCCCTAATCCTGCTTAGGAACAGCTGCTGATGCTCAATTTTCTTCTTTCCCTTCTGCTTTAGTGGGATATTACATTTCCCTGCAATATTGCTGATAGAATGGTATGTCAGCTGGAATGGTTTGGTTCTTACAGAAAGCATAAATGCATTTTAAGGAAGGTATTTCCACATAAGTGAGGCCTCAAAAACAACCCCAGAACCCAGAAGGTAATA